TATACACTCAGACATACACTTCTCAGTGTACATATACACACTTCTCAGTTATTATACACAGACATACACCTCTCAGTATATATACACAGACATACACCTCTCGGTATATATATATATATATATATATATATATATTATATATATATATATATATATATATATATATATATATATATATATACAGACATACACCTCTGAGTATATACACACAGACATACACCTCTCGGTGTATATACACAGACATACACCTCTCGGTGTACATACACAGACATACACTTCTCGATGTATATACACAGATATACAGCTTTCGGTGTATATACACATACATGCACTACTCAGTGTATATACACAGACATACAGCTCGGCGTACATAACCTGTGTGGCAGCTTACCTGACCATAATAAGCTTATTTTAAACTACCATTCAAAGTACCTTTTGTAATAGAGTAATATTTCCAAGGGGATAGTTACAAAGAAGTTAGTAATATTCTGATATTAATTTGTTTAGGGCCGGTTTAATATCTACTCAGTTTTATTTCAGGTTTTATTCTAACAATAAAAATTTATTCACTAGAATATAAATATCGAATATATTTCTTTTATTCTCAAATTAAATGTCTTTTACGAGAATTAACGTTTCTAAGCTTGTGATGTGTTAACATTTCTAAGCTTGAAATGTGTTAACGTTTCTAAGCTTGTGATGTGCTAACATTTCTAAGCTTGAAATGTGTTAACGTTTCTAAGCTTGATATGTGTTGACATTTCTAAGCTTGAAATGTGTTAACGTTTCTAAGCTTGTGATGTGTTAACGTTTCTAAGCTTGAAATGTGTTAACGTTTCAAAGCTTGAAATGTGTTAACATTCTTCAGGTTTATGTGTTAATTAACGTTTCTGAAGCTTGTTGTAAACATTTGTAAAGCTTGTAGTAAACATTTCTAAAGCTTATAGTAAACCTTTGTAAAGCTTGTAGTAAACGTTTCTAAAGCTTATAGTAAACATTTATAAAGCTTATAGTAAGCTTTTCTAAAGCTTGTAGTGAACATTTCTAAAGCTTATAGTAAACATTTCTAAATCTTTTAACATTTCTAAAGCTTTTAACATTTCTAAAGCTTTTAATATTTCTAAATCTTTTAACATTTCTAAAGCTTTTAACATTTCTAAAGCTTTTAACATTTCTAAAGCTTTTAACATTTCTAAAGCTTTTAACATTTCTAAAGCTTTTAACATTTCTAAAGCTTTTAACATTTCTAAAGCTTTTACTAAATATTTCTAAAACTTTGAGTAGTAAACATCTCTGAAGCTTGCCACATATTAATTAACGTTGCTAAGCTTGTCACACATTAATTAACGTTGCTAAGCTTGTCACATACTTGCTGATAATTTTTAAAGTGATACCTTTCATGTGGCTTAATTAAAATGTTATTTTTTAACCTGTTTAAGCTTTTTTTTTAAGCTGAGGTTTACAAATACTTAGGTCACTCGAAGTTTATTTTGTATTTAAATTATTTTGGGATTAGGCTGTGTTGGGTCAGAACAGAGTTTGGCTGAGGAGGACAAACTCACCTGTTCGGCATGTATGGCGGGCAGGGGCGCGCGGACTGGGCCAGGAGCTATGAATCGACCCTTGCAACCACAATTAGGTGAGTACAGTTAGGCGAATACACACTATGGCGTGTGTGTGTGTGTGTGTGTGTGTGTGTGTTTATGTGTGTGTATATGTGTGTGTGTGTGTACTCACCTAGTTGTGGTTGCAGGGGTCAAGTCATAGCTCCTGGCCCCGCCTCTTAACTGGTCGCTACTGTGTGTGTGTGTGTGTGTGTGTGTGTGTGTGTGTGTGTGTGTAAAGATGAAATCTAGATTTCTAGAAAATGACTAGTAAGCATAGATAAATCCAAATATTTAAATGACAGATTCTAAATACTAACCTAGAACATAATGTACACAACAGTTATGTCTAGTAAAACTAGTACTAGGAAGTTGAACACTGTCACTCGTTTTAAAATTTGAACTTCAAAAACAGAGACTCTAGCCAAACAAACTCTAGAACCTGGAACACAGCCACAACTAGCAAAACTAGGCTAAGAGCCTAGAACACAGTCACAACTAGCAAAACTAGACCAAGAACCTGGAACACAGCCACAACTAGGAAAACTAGACCAAGAGTCTATAACACAGCCACAACTAGCAAAACTAGACCAAGAAGCTAGAACACAACCACAACTAGCAAAACTAGCACCAGGGGCTCCCCGAACAACGCCGTTACTTCAGAAACCAACGCAGAGCAATTAACAAATAGCGTTAGAATAACTGAGTTAGTCACGAGTCTCTGAAAATGTAGAAAGGTAATTGCTTAAATCACATTAGGGACGGACCAGGTGTTGCAATTAACCTGCAACCTGAACACTGCAATGATGTGCAATGAGTATTATTCTTATTATTTCTACTACTGTTATTATTATTACTATTCTCAAGCGAACGCTAAACCCGAATGGGTCATATTTGTTTTTCATTGATTTTAATTATCTGAAGCAAAGAAAAGTGTGTTTTTTTTTTTTGTTAACACATCGGCCGTCTCCCACCGAGGCAGGGTGGCCCGAGAAAGAAAAACTTTCTTCATCATTCACTCCATCACTGTCTTGCCAGAGATGTGCTTTACACTACAGTTTTTAAACTGCAACATTAACACCCCTACTTCAGAGGGCAGACACTGTACTTCTCATCTCCAGGACTCAACTCTAGCCTGCCGGTTTCTCCTGAATCTCTTCATAAATGTTACTTTGTTCACACTCCAACAGCATGTCAAGTCCAAGAAACCATTTGTCTCCATTCGCTCCTATCTAATACGCTCACGCATGCTTACTGGAAGTCCAAGCCCCTAGCACACAAAACCTCCTTTAACCCCCCTCCCTCCAAATCTTTCCTAGGCCGATCCCTACCCCGCCTTACCTCCACTACAGATTCATACACTCTCGAAGCCATTCTATTTCGTTTCATCCTTTCTACATGTCCAAAGCACCTCAACAACCCCTCCTCAGCCCTCTGGATAATAGGTTTGGTAATCCCGCACCTCTTAATCTCCATACTATGGATTCTCTGCATTATATTCACATCACACATTGCCCTCAGACATGACATCTCCACTGCCTCCAGCCTTCTCCTTGTTGCAACATTCACTACCAATGCTTCGTCCCCATATAAGACCGTTGGTATAGCTATACTCTCATACATTCCCCTCTTTGCCTCCACGTGCAAAGTTCTTTGTCTCCACAGTGCACCACTAACGTTTTTCCCCTCGCCAATTCTCTGATTCACCTCATGTTCCATAGACCCATCCGCTGACACGTCCACTCCCAAATATCTGAAAACATTCACCTCCTTCATACTCTCTTCCTCCAATCTGATATCCAATCTTTCGTTACCCAATGTTTTGTTATGCTCATCACTTTACTCTTTCCTATATTCACTTTTAATTTCCTTCTTTTACATACCCTACCAAACTCATCCACCAACCTCCGAAACTTCTCTTCAGAATCCCCCAAAAGCACAGTGTCATCAGCAAAACGCAACTGTGACAACTCCCAATTTGTGTTAGATTCTTTATCTTTTAACTCAACACCTCTTGCCAACACCCGAGTATTCACTTCTCTTACAACTCAATCTATAAATATGCTGAACAACCACGGTGACATCACACATCACTGTTTAAGGCCTACTTTTACTGGTAAATGATCTCCCTCTCGCCTACATACTCTACCCTGAGCCTCATTAATCCAACACTGAAATTATTAATAATTGGAAGTGATATTAGAAAATTAATTGTAATATTTTAAATTTGCTCTACCACTACCTGTTCTACTAATAATAATACCTGTACTATTACTACTAATACTACCTGTTCTACTACTACTACTACTACTGATACTAATAATAATGATAGCCGGAATTAATGTTTTCCGATATTAACATAAATTTTAAATTTTTAGTATTATTCACAGTAAATACAATGTTTATTGTGAAAGAAATTAAAATTGGCCTTAAATATTCCATTCTAAACAAATTTCTTAAGAAAATTAGACAGCATAAAAAAAACTCCTTTTAGACAGCCTCAAAAACTTAAAAGATATCTTTTGGACAGCCTCAGAAAATTTAAAAGTATTTCCTTTTTTTGATGGCCTCTAAGACAGCCTCAAAAAATTCGTGATATTTCCTTTCAGAAAGCCTAGAAAAAATTAAAAATTGCTTTTAGGACAGCATACTTAGACAACTCATTGATATTCTATCTATCAGTGTTGACAAACTATTTCAGAAATTAGAGAAAGAATCATTTACTGCTAATGCCTTTTCGCAAATTCTTTTTCTTGACACATCTAAATCCGTTTTATATAAGACACGTTCCGTCTCCCACAGAGGTAGAATGACCTCAAAAACGAAACTCATTCACCATCATTCAGTCAGCAACTGTTTGGCCTAAAGTGCATCCGTAAAGTTTTCAGAATATTTGGATTTCTTACAGAAGTTTTTATTCAAATTTTCGATTTGTTTATATACAATAAAAGTAGATAAAAAAATGTTCTACAGGAGAAAAAAAAGGCCGAAATTAGATTGTTTTTGGTAAATATTTTTTTAATAGCGTACACTTGCAGTCAAAGCATTTAGATGAACTATAACAAATGAGTTAACTTCAAGTTAGAAGTTAGCTCAGTTATAGTTCAGCTAAAGTTAGAATCGACTGGAATTCTATATTTTTTTCTTAAATGTCTGGAAGACCAAATAATACACCGATATACCAGGACCGGAACCAGAGTTGTATATTCGTAATTTTCACGAGCAATCCGACATTTTTTTTTCCATAGGCAGATAATGAGTTTATTTACAGTTTTGGTTAAGTGATCATAGGGATAAAATGTTTCTCAGATTTAATGAGATTTGAGAAATGTTAACTAAGATCGGATTTGAATCTTCTGTACCGTACTTTTGAAAAGTTTCGTTAATCACACTCACCATCTTCAGGACATTCTGAAATAAAACAAAATGACCAAATCATTATTAAAATTTGATACTAAGATTATTATAAACTAATTTCAGCTAAAAAATTTTTTTCTTAAAATAAAAGCAAAATATCTAACTGGCAGAATCTTGTCCATGAAGACAAAATTCTGACTATGGGAAAAATGTACAAAAGTGTATTAAAAAATACAAATTTCACAGAGTTCATAAAAGAATACAAAAAAGTAAAAAATGTGCACAAGAGTACATGTACAAAATTGTACAAAAAAAAATCGACTTCTTGTAAAATAATGTCCAAATCCATTTAACAAAATTCCAAACCCAGAATCACTAAGAAATTCTCGTATATTAAAAACTACTGAAAATTATGAAAAAAAAAAATATATATATTGAATGCCAACAAATTTTTCAAGTTAACAAATTTAGGTCTATATATATATATATATATATATATATATATATATATATATATATATATATATATATATATAATATATATATATATATATATAACAAGGAATTCGCAAGAGCAGGCGAAATATACACAAACACTGATCTCTGGCTGAAGGAGACTCGAACCTACGAACCTTGAAACAAGGTACGCAGTGCTATACCAATCTCACCACACTGGACCAAGGCAGCCAGCTTTGTGTAAATCTCATTGCATTGTTAAAATTTCTAGTAAGGCTGATGCATGCAGGGGATGAGATGAAAAGCTGTAAGCCTTCTCTCTGAAAGCTGGCTGCCTTGGTCCAGTGTGGTGAGATTGGTATAGCACTGAGTACCTTGTTCCAAGGTTCGTAGGTTCGAGTCTCCTTCAGCCAGAGATCAGTGTTTATACATATATATATATATATATATATATATATATATATATATATATATATATATATATATATATATATATATATATATATATATATTATGCCTGTGTGTGTGTGTGTGTATTACATAAAATGCTGTGTCTATGGTACGCATTCCAGCTCTGAGGAGCTGGATGGAATATCCAAACTGTCTTTGTTGACAAACACATGGGCGTATTTGTAAACGAATTCCTTATTTTATATCAAAATATTTTACCACCAATGCATCTCTGAAAGTAAACCTTGACTCTTGGCTTCCAATAATCCGGGTAATCCTGCTAACCATTTTGAAGATGGTAATACTGATTCCTGATGGTAACAAGGAAGATGAGAAGCTTGTGGAAGTAGACATTGTTCACAGGTTTTGAAATTGAAGATACACGACTACAAGGAGGTGAGTAGTGCTAGACGACTACAAGTAGGTGAGTAGTGCTAGACGAGTACAAGTAGGTGAGTAGTGCTAGACGAGTACAAGTAGGTGAGTAGTGCTAGACGAGTACAAGTAGGTGAGTAGTGCTAGATGAGTACAAGTAGGTGAGTAGTGCTAGACGAGTACAAGTAGGTGAGTAGTGCTAGACGAGTACAAGTAGGTGAGTAGTGCTAGACGACTACAAGTAGGTGAGTAGTGCTAGACGAGTACAAGTAGGTGAGTAGTGCTAGACGAGTACAAGTAGGTGAGTAGTGCTAGACGACTACAAGTAGGTGAGTAGTACTAGAAGAGTACAAGTAGGTGAGTAGTGCTAGACGACTACAAGTAGGTGAGTAGTGCTAGACGACTACAAGTAGGTGAGTAGTGCTAGACGACTACAAGTAGGTGAGTAGTGCTAGACGACTACAAGTAGGTGAGTAGTGCTAGACGACTACAAGTAGGTGAGTAGTGCTAGACGACTACAAGTAGGTGAGTAGTGCTAGACGAGTACAAGTAGGTGAGTAGTGCTAGAAGAGTACAAGTAGGTGAGTAGTGCTAGAAGACTACAAGTAGGTGAGTAGTGCTAGAAGAGTACAAGTAGGTGAGTAGTGCTAGAAGAGTACAGGTAGGTGAATAGTGCTAGAAGAGTACAAGTAGGTGAGTAGTGCTAGACGACTTCAAGTAGGTGAGTAGAACTACACTACAACTATGTGACAAGTACTACACGACTACAACTAGGCTAGTAGTACTACACGACTACAACTAGGCTAGTAGTACTTCACGACTACAACTAGGCTAGTAGTACTACACGACTACAACTAGGCTAGTAGTACTCACGGACTACAACTAGGCATAGTAGAACTACACGTGATACTAAACTAGTAGCTAGTAGTACTACACGACTACAACTAGGCAAGTAGTACTACACGACTACAACTAGGCTAGTAATACTACACGACTACAACTAGGCTAGTAGTACTACACGACTACAACTAGGCTAGTAGTACTACACGACTACAACTAGGCTAGTAGTACTACACGACTACAACTAGGCTAGTAGTACTACACGACTACAACTAGGCTAGTAGTACTACGCGACTACAACTAGGCTAGTAGTACTACACGACTACAACTAAGCTAGTAGTACTACACGACTACAACTAGGCTAGTAGTACTACACAACTACAACTAGGCTAGTAGTACTACCGACTACAACTAGGCT